GGGCGGGGCGGGGCGGGGCGGGGCCGGCGTGGAAGAAGGGGGCCAGGGCTGGGTGCAGGGGCCAGGCCTTGGGGCTGGGAGCAGGGGAGGGGGCTGATGGAGGTATAACAGGGTTCTGGAAGGTGCTGGATGCCTGTAGCTGTCCGTGTGAAGCAAGCTTGGTAGTCACACTGGAAACGGCCCTTACAAAAGGAGGGTGTTTGCGCAGAGCAGGTGGCGTTAGGGAGGGGGAGGCAGGAGCTGGCAAAGCCCCCACTCACTGCTCCCCTCCGGAAGGAGGAGAATCCCTCCCCAAAACACTCCTAGTCTGGAGCCAGGGTAGAATCAAGGGCACCTAAGACCAAGCTGTTGTGACTAAGCATTGTGTGTGTGCAAGAGGTAAGCAGCGCTTCAGGCACCTGCTCCTTGAATGCCACCAGCCTTGCTAAGCTCAGCTCAGCTCAGCTTAGCTCAGCTCGGCTGAGCTGTGGATGCAGGAGCCAGCCGGGTGGTTTTGGGGGAGTCAGCTTTGCCATGTGGGGAAATCGTGACTTAATGGTGACCAGAGGAAGACCACGGGGTTACACAGTGCTTCCTCACGATGGAGCTGTCTCCTGCCAGTGGGTGGGGGAACAGTACCCGACTGGCAGCACTGGAAACCAAGAGCTCCGTTTCTCTGGTTTCTTCAGAAAACAGTGGAATTTCCTCCTGCTGCCCAGGGCTCGGCCTGCCAGCGCAGCCGAGCAGGAGGAGAGGAGTGGGTCCTCGCTCACGCAGAATCTAATTGTGCCATGGCTCGTATGAGGCATTCCCAGGAATTCCTACCGGCCATGTGGGCACGTTGCCTTTTGCACATCGCACACCTACACGTGCTGTGTGCCTACCTCCCTGCGCACCACACAGAGAGTAAGCACCCATGGGAGCGTGCGCTCACAGCTCAGCGTGCACGGAGTGCCGTGTGTACGCGGACTCAGACCACGCTCTCCGTGAGCCGCAGATCCCACCCAACGCTGCCAGCATGCTCCCGTGCATCCCACGGACACGCAGGCACAGGTCATGCAGGCACATTTATACCCCCCCATCCCCATGCACACCACACGCTACACATCTGTGTTTCCAAGTCACGCAGGGAGCGCCCACGCTTCCCACACATGTGCATAGCTGTTCCTCGGGGCAGTGCCTTCCCCGCCACGGTGTTTGTGACTGTTCTGACATTACAATCTGTGGTTCACACACTTGAGGAAAGCACGTTGGCTCTGAGCTCGGAGCAGAGCGCTTTTTCCATTCATAGTAATACCCTAAGGCACAGGCTGCTTCCCCCGTTGCTTTGCTGCCCTCATGGAAGTGTTTTATCTTTATCTCTGCTCTTTCATAGTATCTGTGCAAGCCAGTGCTTTGGAAGGCCTTTCTCCTGTGTCTGCTCAGAGTCATCCCCATGTGAAATCCCCCCGTGAGTCACAGCAGCCACTGGATAACAGACACTCCTTACTTTCCAGAAGGCTTTTCCACCCTTCTCTGCTCTGTGCTGCTAGGTGACTTAACGATTATGAGTAACCTCTGTCATTCCACATGCTAGTATCAAAGTTATCATACCTCATGCTTCAAGGCATCAGCTGCTGGCCAAAAGGAGGAGAGTTCTCCACACGTTTGAAGTCTCTCATAATTCAAGAGTTGAGGTGCTGTTTGGTTCTTCATAACACAGCTCAGATCCCGGTGGCCCTCTGAAACTGCCAAGGTGACAGAAACTCCAGTAGCACAGACGGTCCTGGAGGCAAACAGCAGGAGAGAGGGAATTCAGAGTGGAGTCAGAGGAAGCAAGGGAAAGGACAGGGAAGGCACGCAGGCATTTTGACGATGCTAGCTAATAAAAGTGATTCCATCTCTGTTTGAGAGAGACAGATATTGGCAGGAGATTAGGATGTCTATACTTGTAAGTAACTCTTTTGGACATAGGATCAGGGTAAATAGCACACAAAAAGATGTAGCTCCATTTCTTGGTTTGGTAGGCAAACTGGGAAAACTTGTTACAAACTACGAATGGTTCCTCTGAGCAGCTATTTTCCTTCCCCCTTCCTGGGTGGTGCAAGGACTCAGAAGTACTCTAGGTGAGATGCAAACACTGGCCTAAGTAAAGGATCAGTCGCCACCAACTGCATGTGCCCCACATACTTAGAGGAGCAAAAATGGTCATTTCACCCCAAAATACTGATTTTAAGAGTTCTACAGAGGGATATTGGTGTCGTATTAATTAGAAACATTTGAAAACTGGGTCTACAAATGAATTCGGAAAGAACAAAATTTCCTTGCAGGAGATTCAGGAGAAATAGCTCTGAAGAGCTCAAGCTGAGGTGTGAACTCTTCAACCCTGCTGAGCTCCAAAGCTCCCGGTAATTTTAAACCCTGCTGATACACCACAGACACCCCCTCATAGATCAGGTGTGGATTTTTTTCTGTTTCTAGTCTTCTCTGACAAGCTAAAATAAAGCCTATGGGTATTTCTCTCTCCTTTATACAGCTACTTCGTGTCTTTGCTATAGAAGATGTCCAATGTAAATTCAGCTATGATAACATTTGTAAACGACTCAAACCACCAAATACAAGATCAGAGATGAACTGCATTTCACCTGCTGCCCAGGTGAACTACCCCAGCAGTTAATGCGCTACGGCAGGTCTGCCACATGAAGCACAAGGCATTTAAATCAGATTATACAAGCTTGTAAAGGGCAGATACTCCTGGGCCTCTAATCACGAAACCTGCACTTGTGGAGAGCAAACAGTTCTACAGTCCCTGACACAGTCTGGCAGTTTTATGTGTGAATTTGTCGGTCAAGAAAGCAAGGGACTTGAACGGCGGGGGAGAGCAGCAGAGAGCGCCGGCAGCAGCTGTGCAGACTCCCTGCTGATTTCTGGCTCCGCAAGTTAGTCCTGGCCTTTTTGCACCCCAAATAATGACAAAAGACGTTTCCTGGGGAGTCCGCTTTACACACCCCCCCCCAGTGCCTGCTTTCTACAGTAAGTGCAGTGCTATTTACGTAACTGCAAGTTTACACGGATGTTCATACCCTGCGCAGGAGGTACATGACGCTAGAGTGAAAATACACTTGTGGTCAATGCATCAGAAGTCAATGGTGCAAGCCTGTGTGCTCTCCAGAGCCCACAGATCCCTCTCAGCCTGCACCCGAGGCCACGGATTGTGTCCCGGCCGGGGAAAGGTCTGGTGAGAATTGACTTTTGTCCCTCTGTTCTCCTTGTGAAGCCCCCATAAGCCGTGATCATTCTCAACAAACCCGCTCACAATTCTCAACAGTTTCTCTTGTGGAAAGCACTGCAGAGGGAATCCCCCCTTTTTTTAAAGATCACATTTCCTACGTGGTTGCCCCTTCTTCACACATCAGAAGTTGAATCATGCAACACAAAAGGCATGTGGTGAGTAAACTACCTTTCTATCTAAGGAAACTGGGGACAGCCCTGAGGGGAAGGAAGGGGTAACATAAATGAAGCAACGAGAATGGTACTGTGAGTGTGGCAAGCTCAGGCTGAATTTCAGTATGCAGTTCCTTCCAGGAGGATTTCAAAGCAGTTTACCAAAAAAAAAAAAAAATAGTGCAAACTGTGGCATAGAGAAAGACATGATTTAATCTCAGATCTCCCAGCAAGGCAATAGTTAAAACAATATCTCCAGAGTCCATTGTCCTGTCTGGTAGGGCAGGAGCACTCAAAATGAGAAGCTTCCTTAGCAGCCACATGGGAAGAGCTGTGAGCACGAATGGGCAGCATTTGCTTCCCGTCACTCCTGGACTTTCCAGGGACAGGAAAGCTAAGGAAAGAAGTGGCAAAGAGGAAGGAAAAAAGCAAAACAGAGAAAGACCTTACGCACCCTGCCTTAGAGATGAAGCCTGGCTGCTGGGGCGAGAGGATGCAGCTGGGTTAACACCTGACCCACGACTGAGCTATTTGGCTTCCCCTGCTGAGCTGGATGACGCTGAGCCCACTTCAGTGTCCTCTCCAGGGAACAGCGTCATCCTCAGAGCAGGAATAGCCCTTCCCGCTCTGCGGCACGCTGAGGGCCATGCCCCTGGGCCAGGAGATTGGGAATGGCATACCTAGGAGGTTTTGGAGGGCTCACCAGCCGCTGGGAACATGAAGGGCAGCACTGGAAGGAGGCCAGGGACTACCCAAGACTTAGGTGACTTGGGCAGCGGGATATATAGAATGACGGTATTTGAGAGTGCGGTGACAAATCTGAGAGATCAGGGTGGCAGGAGGCAGGAGTGGCAGGGACCTGCGCCAAGAGGGACAGCAGGAAACAGATGCCTGGTGCGTGATGGTTATGCGAGGCAGCTGGAGGGAGAGGCCAGAGCGAAGGGAGGCTTTAGTAAAGTCACCGGGTAGGCGAGTTCATGTGGGAAAGTGAAGTGAAAGGAGAAAAAAGAGGAAGGAAAAGGGCAAAACTGAGACTTCCAGGGAGACCAATGGGAGATGGAAGCTGCCCTGAAAGGAAGCACAGGTAGTCCTAGGAGTCACCTGTTTGTCCTGAAGCAGTTCTGGCCTCTGGTGAGGGATGCCCTGGGTTAGGAAGGTGATACTGCTGTTGGCAGACACCAGAAAACAGCTTTTACTCTTCATTCATTCATCCTTTATTGTTGAAGTCCAGGTTTTAGGTGCATCTCACTGCTGGCCTGGAAGGCAAGGACTCATTATGCCACCCTTGCGCAAGCTTGTCTGTTTATCATCTTCTCTGCTGCATGATTACGATTTTCTTAATCTGCTTCTACTGCTTACAGCATATGTTTTTTTTGGTTATACTTCACTGGCAGGTGTTAATTAGCTTCTCAAAAAGTAGGCAACCAATATTGTTTCTATGTTTTGTTCTTGGCTTCCCTGTTTTTAACTCTCTCCTTCACTAAGAGGCAATAAATGTTCATTTTCCCTTAGCAAGGACATTAAGCTTTTTGAAGGAAAGCGCAAGTGCTGTTACCAGTTTCACTTTGCAGACAAGAAGCACAAAAGGAGAAACACTGGTAGGATTTTTATTCTCTGAAAACTACTTAACTCCAAGAAGAATTGTAGAAACTCAGGAGTCCTCTGCGTCTCTGAAGGTGAGATGAGAGCTGTGTGAAGCCAGCGAAGATCACTGCTTTAAACCTTGGACTAGAGCTCAGAAATGGCTGGCTTCCACATCTGTACCCAGACCACCAGGATGTGCTTGTTGGATGACTATATTAATTTTATACCACATCCTGCTCTCCTATGAGAAATGCTTTTTTTTTTTTTTTTTAATAAGACCATATGGAATAATTCATGTGGAATTTCTCTCCATGTGGGGCCATCCTCTGTCTGAGGTGTGAACACCGATACTCATCGCAGATTTTGAAGGAGGTCCTTCCAGTTGAGGCAGGGTGATATTTCCTTGTGCTAAACTTATCCCAGAGTTTCCTCGGTCACTTCTTCCTTTTTCTAATTTAAGATTATTGTTAGAAAAAAAGCAGAAAAACATTGAGAGAAAAAGTCAGCAGGTACCAAAGGTAAGGAGATGTAAGGAGAACAAATGTTTAATGTAATCTTTGCATATGTAATTGCATGTATGTGATTTCCACACTATAAATAGCCATGTCAGGAAAGCATGACGTGGACATATGTGCTTGCAACTGAGCTACACCACACGTGTGTCCTTACGCCTACAGAACATAACCAGTGTGTCAGCAAGCAGGTCCAAGACCGCAGGCTTGCTGATCTGACCAACACATCTTATGTAAGACTTCCGTGAATAGTCTTGAAAAATTGCATCAATAACCAAAGTAATACAAAAAGTTACTGTGTCTTTTTGCCTTTCACCTTACGGACCGCACCTTCAGTCAGCGTATTTCTGTGCGGGCAGCAGTTGTATCACCTTGCAGTATGCTGGTGTAGTTGGTGGCAAATTAATTTTTTGCACAAAGGGCAACCAGGACGATTGTGCTCAGGGATGGGTCACACGAGGAGTGAGATTTTCAGTCCTTGCTTATTATTTGCTCTACCCCTCATGTGAAGGGTTGCCAATATTTAGGAAAATGTTACTACTAAGCACTTGCAAATACTGTCTTTGTTTCTTTTAACTTAGTAACGGATAAAAAGTTCCACTCGCTTTTTATCACTCTGCCTGCATACAGCCCCCGCGTGAGGCCCAGAACCGGTGTGTTTGTTCAGCCTGGCGCCCCGTCCCAGCAGTACTGGAAACCTCTTCTGAGAGGAGCAAAGAGGAAGTACGTGCCAAATTGTTCAAAGCGTTTTAGCGAAACTATTTTCTTTTTGTACCGAGAACAAAAACTGCTTAGCTGGCAAGCTTCATCCTGCCCCCCTGACCGAGAGCTGACCTCCCCCGGCCGCTCGCCCGTCGGCTTCCCCGCAGCGGCTGC